TATACATCAAACATATCTATCTATCTATCTATCTATCTATCTATCTATCTATCTATCTATCTATCATGTGTGTGTGTGTGTGTGTGACTAAAAACAAAAAAAAAAACTTATCTTAGCCAACGCGTTTCATCCTCTGATAGATTTTATCAAGGTATATATAAGAATTTTATTTTGCAACAAAGCTTTCTCACAGACGTGTTGACGCGTCCCTCTGTCTTTTCTATAAATACTTTCACGGTAACTGCTCCGACGAGTTACTTTCGCTAGTTCCCAGAGTACGTGAATTTAAACGTGCAACTAGGCTGGTACCTCGATCCCAACCTTTGCACTGCCGAAACAGTTAAATGTAGCCGTCTCTTCTACTCCAATAGCTTCATGTCTCGCACCTCCCGTCTGTGGAATTCCCTTCCTATTACTTGTTTCCCTGATAGCTATATATCAAATGTAATGTCAATCGACAACTCCAGATCTATTCCCTATCATTCTCTTCATCCTTTCATCTATCACGCCTCTTTACTCTCGCTCCAACTCTCTGTAACACCTTGCATGCTAGTGGCTGCTCGCTTTGCTTGGGATGAAATACTTAAAAAAAAAAAGAGTATTTCTATACAGAAGTAAAAATGTTAGTTTTTCAAAATTTAAAATTTAACAACGCTTCTAAATATACTTCAGGATAAAATGTCATATTATGGAGGATGCAAAGTGATATAATTCAATGTCTAATAAACAAAAGTGAGTAAATGTTGCCAATGTTGTGTTATATATTTTAAATAACAGAAGGTTTTGAATTTGACAGTTTCCTTTTGAGTTTTCATTTTCTTCATTTAACCGTTTTAATTGAATTTAAGTAATTTAAGTAATTTAATTAATTTTCTTTATCGAACCTTTTTTAATTTAACTGTTTTCGTTTTCTTAATCTATTTAATATATATACATATTATTTGAGAGAAAGAAAAAGAAACAGTGTGGACGTATGAATCAACACTGAATTGAATCAGTCAAATATAAAATATTGAAAACATTCCAATGTATCATATACGAAATAAATAACTCAAAGTATTGGACCTAAACAAAAGAAGCTTCCACCTTACTTCACTTCTCTTAAATTTCCCACTGACCCATCTATATAGCCTGCTAAAGAAGTAGCGGCACATGATCTGAAGATTACTTGAAGCGTGGAACTGACAGTCACCATTCAGTGTTGATTGCTATGACCACACTGTCTATATCTGTAAATGTTATTTATCTTATACTGATCACTCTTCCTCCATAAATATAGAAAATTTAATATATATATATATATATATATATATATATATAAGTGGACACTGAAGTCAACACCGAGTGACGACTGCCTGTTTCATGCTTGAACGCAATTTGCAAGCCTGAATATTGCGTTCAAGCCTGAAGTAGACTCGGTGGTATCTTTTAGTAATCACGTTACATACCCATTTTTACCCATAAATATAAAATACCTGTATAGAAATTTTACCCGTAAATATAGCATACCTTAAAATTATATATTTATATTCTCAATTCTTATATAACTATGGTAATTATTATTGTCTGAACGTTGTTGATGTTGTTGTTGTGCAACTGAAAAAGTTTATTCGGTTAACTAAAAATAAAATTTTCCCCAACGATAAATGCAGAATGAATTTTGTGGCTAATTCAGTATATTTACGACGACTATAATACTAACCGTTACATATGGGGAAAATAGAATGTATGTTTGATAGCAACGGAGATTGTGAGCTTCGATTTGGAGACATTAGAATCAAGCAGGTTCAGAAATTTAACTACCTTGTTAATGTAGCAAAAGTCGAAAAAAAATATGACACAAAAATCAGCAGGTTTATTGAAATAATGAAAAATACCTACCAAAGATATCTTTTTGAGTGACTTGTTGTATTTTACAGCTTATAAATCCTTTGTTGGTTATTTAAGTCCAAAATGCATTTTAGATTGTGACAATTATTTTTTGCGAGTGAATATTGCATTAACAATTTTCTTTTTGAGAATGACAATGATCATTTCACATAAAAGTTCTACTGTTTGACCCCTAGCTGGTGGGAGGAGATAGATTACCAGAAACAAAATAAAATATTAAGCAATGGAAAAATTTCGCTACCAACAAATAATGCTGAACTATGCCATATTTATTTTCTTATATGAACTAAATGTATTAAAAACGAAGTAATTTTAAAGTAAATAAGAACAAAAAGGGCATTTACACTTAAATTAGAGACCGTTAAAATTTCTGGGTGGTATAATGAAGAAAGAGGATTGGAAAAATTTAACACTAACATGATATACTGAAGGATAGAGAGGCAGATGAAAACAACTATTAATTTACCTGACGAGTTTGAGTGAAAGAGGGAAATTGAGGACTAATAGGGACAGTCAAAAGTGAAACGTAGCTTATAGTTGTCACAGATGAGAAGTTGTAGAGAGATGTGACCGCCCAGGTCATGAAGGAATACTTGTACGTAAATGAAGATTTTTTTTTAATGGATGTGGCGTAATAGTTATAATTTTTTTTTCAAATGGACCCGGATAAAAGCTTTTAATAAAAGCATTTAATTTGTCCTATAGAAAGCAGTTAATGAGCCTTGTAGAAAGAATGTAATTGAACCTGTGGAAACGTGTAATGGCCTTGTAAAAAGCATATAATGGATCTCGCTTATAATGGGTCCTGTGGAGAACATCTAATTAAACGTAAAAGAGAGTTTAATGGACCCCGTAGAAAGTATTTAATGGGTCCTATAGATAGAAAGTGGTTAATGACCCCTATAGAAAGCATCTAATGGCCCTGAGAAAGCGTTTAATGAGTCCTGTAGAAAGTGTTTAATAGGTCCTGTAGAAAGTGTTTAATAGGTCCTGTAGAAAGCAGTTACTGAATTCTCTAGAAAGTATGTGATGATCTAGTAATTCATTGAGAGTGGATTTGATTCTCACTGACTGTTCCACAGATAAATATGTTGTAGAATATGTGCGGGCGTGTATGTGTGTAACATGTGTGTGCGTGTATGTGTGTAGCATATGTGTGTGCATGTATGTGTGTAGCATATGTGTGTGCGTGTATATGTGAAGCATATGTACGTGCGTGTATGTGTGTAGCATATGTGCGTGCATGTATGTGTGTAGCATATGTGTGTAGCATGTGTGTGTGTGTATGTGTGTAGCATATGTGTGTGCGTGTCCGAATGTAGTATATTTTTGTGCGTGTATGAGGGTAGCATATGTGTGAGTACCCGCGCTTAAATTATTAATCTTTAGAAGACTAGTAAACAATTGTACAATAAAAAAATGTTATAGCGGAGGAAAATACAAAAACTATTAGAATTTCTACAATCATAATAAAGGGATTCTGAAAAGTACATATCATGAGCCACGTTTGAAAAACCGACCAAATATTTTAGTTATTTATTTTTGTTATGGCTTCTTGGTTACATTGAGAACTTTTCAGTGCTCTCTTATACATCTCCCTCTCTCTCTCTCACTCACTCACTCACTCACTTATTCTCACACACACACACTCACTCTCTCTCTCTCTCTCTCTCTCTCTCTCTCACACACACACACACACACACACACACAAACGCCCTTACTTTCAACTGCAAGAATAAAACTCATATTCCCATTTGACTGATTCCGCAGTGAATACTGAACAAGAATAGCTCAGAGACCCAGACCTATTCGAAAACTTTTCAGAATGTTTTCCTTAAATACTTGAGGGAGTTGTAATACTTGAAAACTTCCACTACACGCTGTAGTTGATTGGTCTCTGACTTCCAACATCGGAATATTACAAAATTCCTCTGGAATATGAATAATGATCTGTGGAATCCTGATAGCATTTTTTAGATGCCTGTCGGTTCGAATTCCTGTTGAATATTAAGTGAAGGACTTGAACTGGACGCTGAACAACTCTGCAGATTTAGGTTGCCTCTTCCAATTTTTCCACCTGGGGGGTTACATTATCGACACTTCATATAATTGCCCTGGCTATATCACGCGGTTAAGAAAAAGTTTTGTATCCATAATGAAACTACCATTCATCTCTTTAAGAATTGTGTAGCTATGGAACATTATATCAACGCGTGTGTGTGTGTGTGTGTGTGTGTGTGTGTGTGTGTGTGTGTGTGGTGTCCAAAAATTGTTGGTCATCAACTAATCTATCTCTAAAAATCAAGCCTCCTATGTGACAGTGAATATTGAACATAATAAGGTTCTACTGAAGAAAGCTGAAAATACTATGGACGGAGCGTGGAAGCAACGATAAACTTATAAAGAAAATGGAAACGAAAAGCGCATTTTTCCTTAGGATAAAAAAGATACATTTGAAATTTCTAAGACACATAATGAGAAAAGAAGGCTTCGAGAATTTGACACCCACAGGCCATAATAAAAATAAGCGAGGCATTGGAAAAGAGTGCCAAACCTACATAAGGAACTTCGGTGGACTATGATTGATAACGCAGCAACAAAAGATAGGGTATTGTGGAGAGCCATGATCGCCCACATCCTGGGGGCAGACCAATTGCTAAGTCAGTCGAGAAATGGATCACAGTTGATTCACGCGATTTATAACAAACTTTATGTTTTATTAAAACAAACATTTTAATTTAAAGTACGAAGTTGTCCGAAACGTTCTCAGCTGATCTCAATCAGTATACTGATTAGGGGCAGGCAGTGAATCATACTGCCCAAAACCAGTATTCTGATTGTGTTTTATGACTTGTCAACCTTTTGCAGGTTATTTAAAGCCATAAAATATCTTTAGATTGTAAGAATGTTTGGGCAGATAATAATGATTTATTGATACAAGTTCTACTAATTAACTCGTAACTGGTGGGGTGGGGAGAATGCGTGGGTGCATACTTTTCCTATAAGTATTTGCATGGAAGTGAATATAACGGACCCGACTGAAATTGGAACTCGGCTCCCCGATTCCCAATTCCGAGCCGTTATCCAGTACACCACCCACACCTCCAAGTTTGCAGCACTTTGTGTTCCCAAGCGGTCACCCATCTAAGTACTGACCAGGCTTGACGTTGCTTAATTTCGGTGATTGTGCGGAACCAGTGTTTCAACGTGATACGGTTGTAAGCCCAGTATTCTGATGTTTAGGTTTTGAAGTACTTATTTCGAGAATCGATCGGGTTGAGAACTTTTTGGCATTTATCACACTTCCTGAACTATACCATTTCTAATTTCATAAAAATCGCTATATATTCACATTATTTTTAAAAAAATAAATAAATATCCATAGCTAAAATTTTTTTGTTGGCGTTTTTTGGATTTATTTTTTAGGCATATTCTTCACTGATTGCTGAAGACCAAAAATTTATTTATATTTGAAAATTTGAATTTGAATAGACATGTTTGCTTGATTTTTATCTTTGCATCATGCATGTTTTCTAGATTCTTGCTGTCGTTCTGTATTTTCCATTGTGGGCACTGCGCAGTGTTTCAAGCCAACTCAGAATCAATATTTCGAGTGATGTTCAAGAGACAAACAATCCTTTAGTTGAAGACTTGATGCAGTACAGGCCCCATTCCCCGCTTGTCATTTTTTGCTGAATTTAGTTGAGTAAATATTTTAACACACACACGCACACGTGAACGTAGTTTTAGGGGGTTTATATGAGCACAAACAAAACCATATGCTTATTAATTTAAAAAAAAAACTGTAATTCATAAGAGATTTACGAAAATATTACAAATCTCAAAATTCAATATCTTTCGAGTTATTTTTATGCCAATATCTATATTTATTTTCAAATAGACGGGCAAGGACGATTATAGATTTTTTGAAGAAAAATCCACACGGTAATCCTTATTTAAACCAGCTCTTTTATTAAATATTCAAGAATTTCATCCAACCCCTTAATTTAGGTTGCAAGCATTCTAGTACAAAGTGTTGCATTTGAATATTTAAAGGATGTTTGGAATAAGAATGTCCCGGGTGGATTTAACCCCAGTGACGAATAATCGTCCCGTCCCGTCTACATGAAACTCAAATATGGCAAAAATACACAAATGTCGTACACGGCTTTGCGTGCACCTTCTTCTATGTGCCGTGTCCCTTCAGGACGTTGGCGATCATGGTTCTCCACAATTTCCTATTCTTTGTAGCTCTTTTGTCTTTTTGTCTCCTAAACTCTGTTCTCCCATCCATTTATACAAACTCGTTAGGTAGGTTTTGTTATGCTTTCATCTGTCGTCCTTGCCCTCAATCTGTGTGTCAAATTTTCTAAGCCCTCTTTCCTCATTTATGTGCCCTAGAAATTTCAACTATTTTTCTGATATTAAGTATAAGTGTTCTTCTTGTTTCCATTTTCTCTAAAACTTCCCCATTGCTCACATGTTCAGTCCATGGTATCCTCAGCATCCTTCTTTAGAACTTCATTTTTGTTGCTTCAAGTCTCTTCATTTGTAAGATTTTCCAGCATTCACTGACATTTAGGAGGACTAATATTACGCAACAGTTCAGTACTCTTTTCTTTTTCGAACGAAATCTTCCTGTTTCTAAATACTTTTCTAGGCTTGGCTGGTCTAAGAAAAATTCTAACTCCGTTTTATCACGATGAAAGCATATAATGTAATTAAATGATTGTTGCTGTCATATTCATATAAATCATAGCAAAGTTGTTTGTCAGCGAAAGAATAAATCATAGTATAGCAAAGAATAAACAAATAGGTTAGATGATCTCATATTTCGTTCATTAACGTTATTTTCTTTCTCCTGCCTCAGGTGCTCTTGTAGGTCAATAACACTACAAAAGATAAGGAGTGTCACCTGCCACTGAATACCGTAGAGATAACAATATAGTTTGTAATCTGGGTAACTAAACACAGTATTTTATTCCACCTCTCAACCGTCTTTTGCTATAAGAACACACTACGTAGGAATTGTGAGAGAATAAATTGTATTTTGGACAGGTTTGGCGTTATGTGTCATTCCGTGGATGCCAGACAGTTATTGCGCTTGTTTAAATGTCTCTTAGACCGCCGTGTGGTGTTTACTGCTTGCGTATGTAACTTGGTAAATAATGCACTTCGGTATCCATTCTGTATGCTGCGCTTTAAAAAGAAAGACGGAAGGGATTATCGGTGGTCAGGAATTAAGGCGTTACTGACAGAATAAGATTATGGATAATTGAGTCAGTTATTTATTTATCATTTATTATCTATTTATTACTTTTTTCTATTATTTCGAGCAGCGTTTCTAAACCGTTGCGCCCGGGCGCACTAATACGCCCTGAAAGGTAGCCAGCTGAGCCCCAAGTTAACAGAAGAATAATTTATGAATTATTTTTATATTTAAAAATCTTTATTTTTAAGAAGCTAGAGACACCGAACACACGCTTTCCATGTCGAAGTCAAGTCTTTGTAATTTTATATTTTAAAATGGATGCTAAATTCCTTAATATTTTAAGAATCTAGATAAACCTTTCCCTTTTGCCTTCCTCAATGGATATTAATCAGTCATTATCGACCTCTCTAAAAATGCCAGATTCTTCCTAAATCGCTTTAAATGAAAAATGTATCGCTTCTTTGGGATTGCTAAACCAAAATTTCATATTTTCAAATTTCATGACTAATTTTTCATTAATAAAATTTAAAGTGCACCCAGGTTTTAATTATTCTTCTACAAGTGCGCCTTGAAATGTAAAAAAAAAAAACGTTTGAGAATCAATGATTTAGAGTCTGACTAATCACCTTGCCTTTGTTATTACAATCACGACGTTTCAGCCGTTGAACCCTCCGCCGTTCTTCAGGTGTCAATCTGTTCTGTAGGATCAAAATGTTGGTTCCTGAATTTGATAGCATAGTAAATTAAGTTTGATCTCTGCGTCAGCAAGCCTTACGGACACGTTGAAACACCGATTCCCGTACGATCACCGTAGTTAAGCAACGTCGAGCCTAGTCAGTACTGGGATGAGTGACTGCTTGGGAATACCTGATGCTGTAAGCTTGGATGTACGGGTGCTGTAATGGATAATGGCTCTGAATTGTTAATCGGAGATCCGAGTTCAAATTCCATTTTGGTTCGTTGTATTCACTTGGAAAATGTATGAATCCCCCCTTTCTCCGCCAATTGTGGGTTAATTAGTAATACTACCATCACTAAACCATTATTATCTCAATAAATTCTTACAATCTTTAATATTTTCTGGCTTTAAACAAACTGATAAACTGCAGAAAATGAATCAGTTAATTAAAAAAAACTGCGTTAATGAAAATAGGGTGAGCAATATCTAAGCTGTATTAAAAAAAAAAAAAAGCTAAACCAGATATCCATCGAGAACAATCTTTGAAATAAAGAGTTCAGTTTGAAATTCCTTGAAGGTTACTCGGATCGACAAACACCTGAAGAAGACCGAAAGGCACGAAGACCGAAACGTGATAATTAAAAACAAAGATAACAATAGTCCAAAAGTAACTAACCTAAATAGTATGCTCCTGATCCAAGAAATTCGGAGAGAAATTATTTGTATTCTGTTAAAAACTGCTTCATAGTATAGTAGAAAGTGTCGCAAATAAAAATCGTTTTGAGACAAACTGACAAGTTTACATTGCTGTATCGTTCTACGGGACACATGCAAAAAAAATTCTGTTATAAGATATCTTCCCACACGGACAATGAAATGAGTGTAACCCAGCTAATTCAATAAAATGTTCAGTTCGAAATTCTTGAAAGGTTACCGACTTCTACAGACATCTGAAGAAAGCCGAAAGCTACAACAACTGAAACAACAAAGATTAGAGCACTAATTCAGTAAATAATAATTTCTCATCTGAAATATTCAAACAAAACAATAATAACCTGTTTTAATTTATGCTAAGTTTTGAAATCAGTTCTTACCTTTTGAGATAGAGGAAATTGTCCAGAAGTTAAGTTTCATCGTTTAGTCCCGATAAATTAAATTCTGAGAAAGTAGAGTAGGGAAATATGGTGGAAATTATTCATCATTGATTTCAGACTTTTAAAATCTAACACACCTGGATAATAAAAACTTTATTATTATAAAAAAAATAGACACCCCAAAACAATATAACAAAAATTATGTCACAAAGCGGGTTGTATTGTATGCTAGTATATGTCCATGCTGGTTAGCAAATAGCACTAAGCGCGGATTAGTTTATAATTCAAACACCACGGTGTCTTGAAGTTTCGAAAAGACGTATAACTACGTCCACAGCACCGAAAACGTTAATATTCAATTTCTATATTTTTGCTAAACGTCTCTTCTTCTTCTGTGTTGTATCCCTTCAGAACATTCGCAATCATGGCTCTCCACAATTTCCTGCCCTTTGTAGCTGTTAATAAATTGTATCTTTTTATCTCTCCTAAACCTTGCCCCGCAATCGATTTACTCAAGCTCGCTAGGTAGGTATGACTGCTTTGTTTCTATCTGTCCCTATTGCTTTCAATCTTTCCTGCGAGTATCAAATTTTCCAAGCCCTCTTTTCTCATTATGCGCCCTAGAAAGTTCAACTGTCTCTTTCTGATTTTAAGCATAAGTTTCCTTTTTGTTTCCCTTTTCTTTAAAACTTTGTTGTTGCTCACATGTTCGGCCTATGATATACTCAGTAACTTTCTGTAGAACCACATTTCTGTTGCTTCAAGTCTCTTCTTCATCTATGAGGAGACTGTCCAGTCTTCACTTCCATATAGGAGGACTGATATTACATAACAGTTCAGTACTATTTTCTTTGTTTCTAACGAAAATTTCCTGTTTCAAAATACTTTGCTTCACTTTTTGGAAGGCTACTTTCACTATCCCTTCGGATATCAATGACGCACTTTCCGTTCTCTGTTAAAAAATTTCATAGATATTTAAATTGTTGTACTTGTTTGATTTTGGTATACCCAAGCATCAGATCCGTGTAAAATAATGGCATTAATTGACTTGTAGCAATTTGCCATATGTGAAATTACGAGGCCTTTCCGCTAACACAGGATTCTTCAAACCTGAATCCGCCTCTCCGTGTACTCTGTCACATCCCCAGTTTCTCAGCTCAGGTTTTATTAATGACATAACATGTTGGTGAATGAAGACTTTAATTTGCCACTGTCTAAAAATTATTTTACTTTTTCAGTCAGAAACATCGCAATGACTGTCCACCTTGACAGAATTCAGTCATTTTATGAATGTATCGATAGAAACTCGTTTCATAGAAAATCCAGCGACATTTATTGCCGCTTTAAATTTCTTATTGTTTTCCCAAACTTTAAAGGTGTTTAATTTTCAGCGAGAATTGAAAATGTGAAAGGTAATCCGAAGGTGCATTGGAATAGCGAAAGATACCTTCTAAAGATTAAACAAATTAATAAAAATCAGGAAAACTGTTAAAAACAAAGAAAACAGTGTTGAACTAATCCTCCTATATGGCAGTGAATGCTGAACAATTTCCTCACGAATAAAGAGGAGACGAGGCAACAGAGATGCAGTTCTAAAGAATAATAATGCTGAGAATACCTTGGATGGAACATATGAGCAATGAAGAAGTTTTAAAGAAAACAGAAACAAAAAGGAAACTTCTACTTAGAACCAGAAAGATTCAGTTGAAATTTCTGGGTCACATAATGAGGAAAGGAAGTTTGGAGAGTTTGACATCCATATTGAAGGTAGTGGTGCAAAAGGAAATAGCTAGTAAGTTACCTAACACACATGTGTAAATGGGTGGCAGAACAGGGGGTGGAAGGGATAGTAAGTGGACAAAAGATTCTTAGAGCTACAAAAAGATTGGATGTTATGGGGAGCTATGATAGCCCAACTCCTGAAGGGATAAGAGATATAAAAGAAGAACCAAACTAGACAAAAGTTAATATTGGCGCTAAAATGCTCAGCCCAATATAAATACATACACGTATTCAATGAACATATGACGCTGGCAATATTCTCTAGTTCATGGGTTATATTTAATATTCATGATTGACGACAACAGGTCAAGAGAATATTTGATCTAAAGATTTGCCTTTCCACGAGTGTTGTAAACTGATCAATATTCAGATATTATACAGTTCTGGATGACGAATTTGTCGAGAAGTGGTGTTAATTTTCCCCTTTTTTTTCTCGTATCTATTCAGATACTCATACACACAAATATATACACGCGAAGCAACAAATTAAGGAAATGTCAACTGTTTTTATTGGTTTATTTTTAAATATTTGTATGAATATGTAGTTTGTATATGTAAACATTAAATACAGTAGTGATAAATGTTTTAAGTAAATTAAATAGATGTATTTTATGAATTCATAGTTTATTTATTACATTAAATATAAAAAAATACAGTAGTGCATGTTTTTAAAAAGTTAAAGTGAGATATTTTATGAATATGCATTTTATACATGTATTACGTTAACTTCAGTAGTTATAGATGTTTTAAGCAAATTAAACGGAGTTATTTTGCGAATATACAATTTATACTTGTATTACACTAAATATTGTAGCTATGGATGTTTTAAGTATATTAAACCGATGTATTTTTACGAGTATGTAGTTTATATACATATTACATTAAATACTGTAGCGATAAGTATTTTAAGCACATTGAACCGAAATATTTATACGAATATGCAGTTTATACATGTATTATGTTAAATACTGTAGCTATAGATGTTTTAAGTATATTAAACCGAGATATTTATACGGTTATGTAGTTTATACACGTATTACGTTAAATACTAAATCTATACATGTTTTAAGCAAATTAAAGCGGGATACTGTACACAAAATGACAGTTAGTTATGGAGGGTCATGATCAACCAAGTTCTAAAAGGACATGACAGATGAATATTGTACACAAAAGTTAGATGAGTTGGATGTCATACATGACGTCCAACTCGTTCAGAAATGTCTAAACTATCAAATATATACAACCGTTTTCTCAGATCAATGATTAAAAATGGCTTCAAACGAATGGATTCTATAGGTCTTAAAGAAGACTAACTATTCTCAGATCTTATAGACTGGCACCACAGATTCACTTTACGAAATAACAAAAATTACATCACTTGAAGAGTTACAAATGCAGCAACAACTAAAATGAATAGCGCATGTATCTAGAAAGGAAAATGATATAATGATGATGTTGATCCTCCACACTATCTTAAACAAAAGGTTAGGAAGGAAACCCTAGAATGCTAGAAAGAGCAATAACACTGAACTTGTGAAGCCTATTTTCCTTAAAAAAAACTGTTTTAAGAAAAGATTTTATAAATTTCAACCGACAGGAACACTAATGAATGCCGACTGTTTCCTTTTATGGAAACGACTAATCTCATCATACGATTAAGCAATTATTTGACCATCTGTTAATATTCTTTGTGTAGACTCTCTCTATATAGAGTCTACTTGGGCTGTGATGAGGTTGAAGAGAGAAATGGTTTTTGCCAATTTTTAAGTCTATTTTTTAGATTATTGTTCTGACTATGAGTTTGTTTATTTTATTTACTTTATTATGTTTTTATCTTTTTATTTATTTATTGTACTTTCTTTGGTTCTAAAGTTTGGCATTTGGTTTTAAAGAAAGTGTATTAGTTTTATGTTATAGATCATTAGTTGTTTAGTCATTGGAGTCGCGATGTGGCTGTATAAAGCGTAACAGAGATTTGATTTCATGACTAAGATTGGAAATGAGTTCTGATCTTTTGTTTAAAACTTCATATTTTCTGGATGGTTATTGTTTTGCTTTTTCTCCGCTAGACAAAAGATTGTCTTCTTTTGAGTTGATGCTTTTAGCTGAAGGTGTATTTCTTATTTTCTATCTTACTTTCGGTCTGTTTTGATTGAGTGTGTGTTTAATATACACCAATCAGATTTTATTATACAAGTCAGTGCTTTCACAGTAAAATTGTTATTAGCCTTTAGCATTCTGCATGATTCATTAATATTATTTTAATTTTCACTGTATATGGCACATATCAAACACACTATTGTTTAGTAAATCATCTGAAGTGGC